TCGAGGTACGAGACATATTTCAGGCACGGTGCCATTTTCCACCAGTGGCCGAAAATCGATTAAACATATTGTATGGCTCTCACGGAATTACATTTTAAAATATGTGGCATTCATGGCTGTCTCAGACAAAAAGATTCCCGACCCCTGATCTAACACTTCATCTAGGTCAGTGTTTTTCAACACTTTAAGATGTGTGGACTTGAATTCTGCGAGTTGAAGTCCACACATCTTAAAGTTGTCAAGTTAATAACCTAGGTCATTAATAAAAATATTTAAAAATAGAGGGTTAAGCCTTGTGGTACCCCACTTGATATCTCTCTCCAGGTTGAAAAAGAAACATCGATGACACTTTTTGAACTTGATTTTGAAGCCAACAATTTATCCACTTAACTGTCATGCCTTTCAGACCATATTTAACTAGCTCACTGATCATAAAATTCTGGGACACCTTGGTCAGATGCTTTGCGGAAATCAAGATATATTATGCCCACAGCATTCCCATGATTTACTAAGGAACTTACCCAAGCAAAATAATAAAAGATTAGCCTGGCAAGCCTTGTTTCTGACAATTCCAATCTGATTTCTGGTCATTACTGCAGTGTTTTTTATTGTTTCTATGTAGTCACCAGGAGTGAAGCACTGTTACCTTTTTTTAAAAGAGGCTTGTACATCAATTTATTCATGATTTTCTAGAATCTTCTCTGGTTTTTCAGGTCAGATTGACTAGTCTGTAATTCCTGGTTTATTTTTCTCCTCTTTGAAGACAGGGGACAACATTTGCCATTTTCCAGTCATCCAACACTTCATCAATTCTCCAAAATTCCTCAGGACACATAAAAGTTCAGCCAGATAACTAGCAAGGATGTAATTAATCTCTCCATAGAGATTTAGACTGATTCAGAATAAAATAATATTATTCCCTGTTAATGTTTTTAATCATTGCCAACCTGGCCATTCATTTTGCTCTTCACTTGCTTGAACACATGCTTTCTTGTTGGAGTAGAAGGAAATAAGAGTTCAATAGGTATGTGTTTTGTTTCTGCATTTTGCATCTTCACTGAACAGCTGGTATACCGAGTCTTTTCTTTCCCCTTTATTTTCAACATACCTGAAGAAACTTTTTTTGTTGTTCTTACTGTTCACCAACCTCAGTTGATTCTCAGCTTTAACATTCCCGGTAATATCTCTAGTGATCTGGTTCTTCCCTGGTGATCTTTTCCTGTTTCCATATCCTGTATATGCTCTTTCTGTTTTCAGTTCTTTAAACATTTTTTGTAGACACACTGGCTTCTTCTGCAGCCTTTCACTTTTTTCTCATTAGATTTGTTTGCAACTGTACTTACAGTATATTCTAATTTAGGAATTCTCACCTATCTTGAACTCTTCATTAGCTTCTCCAGGTATGGACTCCTACTTATCATGTCTCTGAGTTTATTGAAATTTACTTTTTTGAAGTCTGGGAAACACATTCAGGTATAGTTTCCCTTAGAGTGAAGAACTCCAACAGTGCATAGTCAGGTTCCCCAAAGTCTTTGCTTCTTCTTTTTCCTTAACTAAGTCTTCTCTGTTGATTAGTATCAGGTCACGGGTAGCTGAACCACTTTTGCCTTCCTCTGTTCTCTGAAGGGAAAAGTTGTCAGCAAAATAAAAAGGACTATGCTTGGTAGAGTTTGTCTCCCAACAGAAGTTGGGGTAATTGAAGCCCCCCCATCCCTGTGTCTTACCTCTTTAGAAGAACTGAGATTTACTCTGGGTGAAGTATATTGGAAGGGCACCAGGTTGGAAAAGGATGGCTTACATATTATACTGTGAAAACTCATCACTTTTCTTGTGGGAAATAGCTTACTTGCAGCCAGTTTAGCAGATGTTTGCTGTCATGCTTGGTCCTGCTTAAGAAAACAAGATTTTTCTTTTTATTTTCTCTAAATGTTCATAGAGTCTATACCCTGAAACATAAAAAAATATTCAACTGTAGGATACTGTTCTCTGTTAAAAAGAGATAAATGGAAGGCTGTTTTTTTCCTCCCCCTTTGTTGGAACCAGTGGCTTAAATGGTGTGAGAAGCATGCGGGTTATATTTTAAAATATGTGTTTTGTTTTTCTTAGGTTGCTTCTTGTATACATTTGGCCAGAAAGCTAAGCTGAAAGACTGCAGAAATGCTTGGTTTGTTGTAGATAAAAATATAGCCTCTGGGGAACTCTTTGTGGTAAGTTTGCTTGCATTTGCACTGTTTGTGATTGCTGCTTAGAAGAATGTGGTTATTACTGGCCCAAGATTCTTGGCTTTTGCATACAAAAGGAACACCAAAGCTGTTAAGTAAACCGGTGTCAAGTAGTTTTATTACATCCTGTTCAAACTAGCTTTGGATGAACAGAAAATTGAAAAGGATGTTGGCACCAAGTATGAAATAAATGGCAAGCAATGAAAGAAGTGATCACACCATTCAGCTTTACCTTCAGACAAGCATGCCTTCATCTTAAGTGTTTCATTGTGTCTTTAATTCATACCATCAGTCCTGATATCATAGAACTTTGGCAGTGTTTCTCAACCTTGGCAACTTTCAGATGTGTGGGCTTCAACTTCCAGAATTCCCCAGCCAGCCATGCATCTGAAGGTTGCCAAGATTGAGAAACACTGCCATAGCTGTGTTATAGTGATGACCACTGTCTCAAGCTGGAAGTGATGACCTGTATAGCCCATCCTCAGAGTTGTTCTGCTTCTCTCTCCCCTTATCAAAGGGGAATGAATACCCATCTGTGCTTGTGGAAGCTGCTATGAGATTTCCATTCCTGTATCATCACAAAGGTCACACGATGTGACATCAACATTGGTAGGGGCTGAATGAGCAACAGCATTTTGATGGACATGCTACAACTGTCCACCTGCTACCCCTTACATCAACATTTCCCTGTTTCCATGGATAGTGTGTAGATACATAGGTAGTTCTTGTTTAGCGACTGCATTGTCTAGTAATTGTTTGCAGTTATGACAGTGATGAAAAAGTAACTTTGTGACCAATCCTTGCATTTACGACCTTTGCAGGTCTGTAAAGCAAAGGAAAGCTGAAGCAAGATCGTAAGCACGGTTTCACTTAGCAACCGCTTTGCTGAACCAAGTTGATGGTCCCAATTTGGTTGCTAAACGGGACTACCTGTAGTTAATATGCTCCTTTAAGCCTGGCTAAAATTCCTAAATTTATATGGGGAGCAATGGGTCAACTTTTGTAGCAAAGGTTCACTTCTCATCCTTGAAAGCATGACATTTTGCAGATACAATGCTCAGTTAAGGTTAATATTTATCTATGCAAAAGCATAATTTCTGGCCATAGCTTTAGCTATTTATAGGCTAATTATGGTTAAAACAAACTATGGTTAAGTTTTACGACCAACAGTTTCCTCCTTGGGGAATTCTGGGAGTTGAAGTCTACATATCTTAAAGTCGCCAAGGTTGAGAAATACTGATATAATTTAAGCCTGTTGGTTTCAATAAATTATGACCCATGGGGGTCAGCACCCTGGGGCCTGTGGTATGGCAAGGAAACAGCCAACAATATGGCTACTGAAAATAAGCAGGGCCGTTTCCCTCACTTTAGAAAGGCAGAAAGGTCACAAAAGGTCCACTATAGAAGGTCTCAGATAGCCTTAATATAGTTCAAATAAAGAGAGAGAAAACCCAAGGAAAAAAAATAGAAATCCTGGCCAGCCTGTCTCTATATGATACATAGCCTACTGTGAATCATTAGGTCATCTAGCATCGCCCTTTGGAAAATGTTGAATATTAAATTTGCCCATAGCAGCGTTTCATCAAATTGGGCCGTAACATTTTCCATGATCCCCTCTTTATAAAACAAAATTAAAGATTCTTCACAGATTGTTGAAGATGAATGCAACAAAAATTGCACTCATCATCACTGTGATAGAAAGGGGACCTAATGATTTGTTTTTGTTATCTAGCCCAAAGGAGCAGTTTTATTTTGCTTTCCGATTGAAAATCTTTTCCTTTTACCTGATGCTAATTTTATTCTATATTGTGCTGAGATGCTGAGTTGTCAATTAAAACTGTTGTACCCCTCTGAAGGCGCCCTGCAGGGATCACCCTGCACTTTACAGAGATCTCTTACGGACAAGCAGAGTGCACTGGATTGCCGAGGAACCGCCTGCAGAACTCGTGCGGGACAAAATGATGGAGTGTAATTTCCGCTTCCAACACTTGATGGCGTTAGGTGACTAATTTTTGTTAATTGAACAAACCTGGTTAGTGTATTCTTTCAGTGGCACCAACAGGCCATTTATAGAAGGAAATCTTACATATGGATTATTTGTTCAGATTACAAATAGTATCTGATATTAAGGAGAATGCAGAAGTTTTGGGTTTTGATTTGTAGTTTTAATTGGGTTTTATCTGGTTGTAAAGGGTTTTTTTTTGTTTTTTTAATTGACTTTTGTATTTTGTTTTGGTTGTTTGATTGTTTAATTACATGAGCCACCCAGAGTTGCATAGATGGGCAGCTATACAAATCAAATGAATAAATAAAGGTGAGTCAATTAACTTTTTTTTTTTAATTTGTAGCACCCTGCACATTAACTCTTAATCAAGATGGATCAGTATGGTTGACCCTGGCAAAGCCAATGAGGGATCTTACAGCAGGGCAGGTATGTGCTGAGTCTACTTCCCCTGTGATTATCTTAAATTTTCTAAGCATGCCAGGACATATTTCCCAGTCAATACGCTCATAATTGCACCCTTTAACAAATGATAGAGTGAATAGAAAAGCATGGAGCAGATTTTGCCCAAACATTATTGGTCGATTTATTAAACAGTTACATATGAGTGAGTAGAAAATCTCAGCAGGAATCTTGGTTCTGTACATTGCTATTAACATCTGAACGCTTGAAGATGATCCAACATGGCTGGCGTGATTCATAATAATTTTCTCTTGGATTTTGTTCGATTCCCAGCACTGATGGTAAGGTTTTATAAACATCTGCGTTGTGTTAGCAATGGTAATAATGAGGCAGAACTAAACTATATTTGAAGCCCAATAGCTATTTACTTGCAAGGGGACCTCATTTACTCACCAAGGAAAATATTGCCAATAATACTGAATGAAATGTAGTTCAGCCATAGAGTATGTTCTTATATGCAGAAGAGATCAGGTATGATCTGTGGATCTCAGCAAAGGTAGGGGGAAGGGAAGCCCACCCTGTCTGCATTTCTTTATCCTAGGTAAGTTGGTCCATTTCTTTTCCTAGATAAGAAGGTCCAGTAGTCTAACATTCAGTTAGAACACTGTTTCTCAATCTCAGCAATTTTAAGTTGGTGGATTTCAATTCCCAGATTTCCCCAGCAAGCTGGCTGGGGAATTCTGGGAGTTGAAGTCCACCCATCTTAAAGTTGCTGAGCTTGAGAAACACTGAGAAGGTTCTTTGAGTGAGAGTTGAAAAAATATACATTCTTACTTGGTTAAATACAGTGGAACTACAGTCTTTATCTGCCCTTTGTTGCCTTCCCACCTCAGTTATCACAACTGAGTAACTGTGATGTGAGAAGGAGGATAGCTTTCATAATTAACAGAAAACATTTAGAGGGCTTGTTAAGCTGCAGGTTTTGTCAAGTCCTGTCATGCAAGTCCCGTGGACATCATGGAAGAAATTCTGTAAATAACCAAGAGCCTTGGTGAAAAATAATGGGATGTAAGGGCTGTACCCAGCTTGTCAAAAAAGTCTCAAGCATTAAGAGGTGTCTGAGCCACAATTCCTTAAAACTGTAAGAAGAATTTCAAATTGTACAGATTTTGCAGCAGGAAAAAGGGAGAGACTCTGCTGAATTACTTAATTCAGCACATTTACTCTGAGATGTGTGAATATAATCTGTTGTGTTTCACTATTGATGGGTTTGCTAGATTGTTATACTTAAGTCAGTATTTCAGACTCCTCTTGAAGCTATCTTTACTGTGACAACTGAACAAAATAATATCTATTTAATTGAATGCAAGAATTTTCCTAAGATTCTTTACTTAGAAGTAATTTTATAGCAGTGCAATTTACACCTCTAGGAAAGAGCACTTAATAATTATGGTAATAATCATACTAGCATTGAATTCCCTTTCCCATTCTCCCCCGCCCCCCCACACTCTGTTATATGAGGTGTTTAAAAGTGGTCAGGTGACCCCTCGGTAGAGGTCTTCTCAGTGTACACCCGTACTCCGTACAGTACACGTTGTCACTCTTCTGTCTTTCAGTTTGCCGTTTTCTACAAAGGGGATGAATGCCTGGGCAGTGGCATGATTCTGAGACTGGGGCCTTCTGTCTTTACATTGCAACAGGGCAAGAAGAGGGAAAGTACTGCTATGAACATGCCAGCCGATGAGGTCACGGTTCAGCCAACAAAATGACTTCTTGCTTTTTTTTTAAACCAAGCAGAGACTTTTAAAAACTGGTTAGTTAAAAGCCTTTGAATGATCATCAGAGACATGAATACACATCTGGATATGTTTGGAATTGTCAGAGGACAATTAAAAGAACAGTTGTGACATAGGGAATGATTCTTGGTTACTTTTTCCCATTGCTTGAAGCCCTGCCCTGTGTAGAAGTTAAGCATAAGGAGACTTAACACCCAAATAAGCATGTATAGAATCGCAGTGTAATTTATATTGTTTGAGGAATCCTGTTAAGATCATGTAAGTAAGTTTTCTGGACTAGATTATGGCTAAATGCATACAAGCTTGTGTGATCACCATGGATTTCTTTATCCTCTTTCTCATATTTGCTTTTTGGTTTCCCATCTTGTAAGCTTTTAAACCAAAAAGCCATTTGCAATTGGGAGGCAATGTTACAGTTCAAAAGTAGGAAAGAGAATGGAGGGTGAATGTTGGGGATATCTAGAGATCTCTTTTTTCTTTTCCTACTTGTTGAAAAATGGAGTTTCTTAAGGAACCCAAAATGAAATGTCATAGTATATGTTAAGTAATTAGAGCACAACAACTAGGAAAATATCTTGGCTCTCGGACATGTTGGCAACTTCAGATAATATTCTGAAGAGCCTACTGATAGTTGCCTTTAACCTTGAAAAAGCCGCTTTGTTTATTTTCTTCAACTGTATTTAGATATTCCAGCATCTGACACAATTAGAATTGTATTGGGGAGATGATTAGACTAGGTCCACATTTTCTGTCCTCATATTTGTTATTCTTCACAAGTTAGAGGGCACAAATCTCCAGTGAGGATCCTGCTTTTTACAAGCAGATTCCCCATCGGATGTCAAGCCTGGAATGTGCCTATGCAGAGCCAGTGTTTGCTGCATGCCTTCAAATCATGGAGGGGAGCAGATTGGGGCAAGACTTCTCATTCTCTTGTATGTTTCTCATGGTAGTGGAGGATAAATAAGCCCTAAATAAGGTCAAGAGCAGCACTAACTCTGGGAGTGAAAATCTTTTAAGAAAATGGTATTTCCTTGTTCCTAAGATTAATAGAAATGCTTATTTTAAAGAGAGAAGTCCCATAGATTCATTCCAAGTCCAACATTTCTTACAAGGTCTTTTCTCCTGTGCTTAAAATTAACATTTGGTTTCTTTGGGGAAAAGTGTATTATGAGTCAGATTCATAATTGCCTATTATTTCAGAGTTTTCATTTTTGACATGTCTTAAATTATTATCAAGTTGATATAACATCATGAACCTGTGTAATTAAATTATTAATCCATTTTAAGGCTGAAAGCTTTTGATGTGTATTGAAAGTAAATAAAAGCTCACACTTTGTGAAGTAAAAACGCTTTAGATTTTAGTGATTATTTTACATATACCTTAGGGCAGTTTTTTGCTGAAACGCTCATAGAATAACATTTCAATCAATATGCTTTTAATCGGTTTTTATATTTCAATGTGTGAAAGATCTATTTTGGGAGAAGAGCCTATGAGCAATGTTGAAGCATCAAGTTGGAACAAGCTGTTCTTGCATGAAGGCCACCAAGGATGGTTGTAGAGCTGCATCGTAGCAACCAGAGTTTCTACAGTAACAAAATGATTCAGCCCACATGACAGGCTGTAGCACCTGTTACAAACGTATGGTTGTGCCAACTACATCCCCCCCCATCTTTTTCTGTCTAGATCAGACGATACTGGAACATCTGTACTACTAATGACTATATTCATGAAGAAAGATCAAAATTATATATATAATAATAATCTTATCAAGATGATGTACATTTTGTCTCTTTCTTTCATCATCAGGAAAATATGATTCGGAAGATTCCATACAATTAACAGAGATTTTTTTTTTATCTTTGGAGAGGAAAACTTGGTAGGGCAGATGCTACAATCAAGGATATAATTGTTCCCTTTTCCATGACACTCTAGCATCATGGGAAATTATTGAAAACTATGAAGCTCCCTTAACCCATCCTTATGAATTTGCCCAAGGCTATCACTGAGAGGTACTTCAAGGAAAGGAAAGAAAGAAATGGCACGTATTGCTCATTTTATTTGTTCTGGTCGTAGAGCAGCACATAAAAAAACAGAATCTAAATAAATATTAAAATGTAAACATAGGTAAAATGCAAAATCATACAAGCTTGTAAAACCTGTAAATCCTAGGAACAGTTATTTCTTGTCTGATTTTGCAAACTACGAGATAACATTTGCTACTTTTATACATATCACAGTATCCAGGCTAGAAAGTCAAAAGGAAGCCAGCGGTGTTCCAGCGTTTCCTAGATAAGACGAGAAGAGTAGGGCAATTAGCAAACAGTGAATGTTCTGCTAAAGCACCCAGCTTAAGACTACCAATTCTACAGCTCAGAACCATGAGAGCAGCTAAGGCTAAAATGTGGTTTCCCTATTTCTGGCTGTTTCCTATTCTGGATCTCAACTATATTACTCCATACTGTATAGGAGCTGCAGGAAAACAAGTATGCAACTCCCTTGTTCTTAAGTTTTCCTTGGCTTTTTTGCAACATTTGATAGCTCACTGAGCAGATTGGATGATTTTGAACCTGGGACTAAGTATTGCCCTGGACATATAACTCTTGGAGTATGTTATAGACTTGCTCATCCTAATTTTAGAAATTTAGTGCTCTTCTGCTGTCCAGTGTAAGATGAAAATTGAAGTCTGCTCCAGAAACAGGTAAGCCTCCGATTTGTCTGTCCTTGAGGGCTTTGACAGCACCCCATTTCTTTGGGTTTTTTTTTTTTTTTTGGTTCCTTTGAGTTGGTCTTGATTCGTGGTGACTACCTGATAAACTGCAGGTTTTTTGGCACATTTTTGGAAGTGGGTTGTCACTGTCACCTTCTTCCTAGGGCTGAGAGAGAGGGACTGGCCATAAGGCACCTATGGTAGGATTAGAACTCACAGTCTTCCAGTTTCTAGCCTGGCGCCTTTAACTACCACACCAGATTGGTTGTCTTGACCCCAATTAGTATTCTGTAATTTTTTTCCCCCTAGGTAAAGACTGAATCAGTTGGGTCACGCAAATACAGTTACTTTGTACACAGTGAATAAGCTGATCTCTGCAGCCTGTCAAGTTAACAAGCATTCATAAAATCAATGGTTTAATTTGGCTATGCATCTGGTGAAGGGTGCCACAGCGCACACATACTTAGCCTTTTAATAATAATTATTAGTCTGAAAAGGTCCTACCAGATTCTGATTTTTGACTACCATGCACAGGCTCCACCATATATTCATTCAGGGAACCCACAAAAAAGTGTTGCTTCCACACATTACCTATATATCGTCCCCCCAAACACCAGAAGAGCTCTTACACTTGCCCACTGTAATGCCCTCCCTTCCACCCTTCTGGAGGGAAGGTTCTATAACAGCATTTTTCAACCTTGGCATTTTGAAGATGCATGAACTTCAACTCCCAGAATTCTCCTGCTGGCAAAGTTGCCAAGTTTGAAAAACAGTGTTCTATAATATACCAAAAGAACTGTGGCTCTGTCCTTGCAGTGAGGGGGAAACTGAAACTGTGGGTCACATGTTGCCCTTTTTATAGAAACCTACATGCTGGCTGGGGGATTCTGGGAGCTGAAATCCACACACCTTAAAGTTGCTAAGGTTGAGAAACACTGTTTTAAAGGAAAGCTTACATCATCAGAAATCAGTAGTACATTTTGTATATTATATATAGGATGCTAAGCATCCAGATAAAGCATCATGAACTGAACATAAACATAGTCATGAAACCAAACATGCAAACTGTATAAGCAAAGTATTTATTAACTCCATTTCTATAAAAATCAGAAGAGCAGGAAGAAAAGCCATGTCTGGATTTATGCTTAAATTTTTGAACTATGAAAAAAATATTGTATTAAATTGTACCGCAACTCCCTCCCTTATTTTGGTGCCTTCTCCCTTTTAAATTACATCCATCAACCTCGAGGTGGTCACCTTAGAGACTAACTCACATTTTTTCTTCTGAATGCTTTGGATTCTAGCATTACCATCTGCCTGTTTTCCCACTGAGCACAAGCCATTGATGAAACTCATTCCCACCAGGCTCGGTCTGGGGTCTATCGGTGTCACTGATTGTTTTCATGTGCTTCTTTTATTTACCTGCTGAGCTGCTGCTGGCGGAAATGTAGCTTCATGACCACTTCTGGCTTATTCAAATGCCTGCTTGAATGCCTTTCAAAATCAAATGACTGTTTCTTGATTATAGCCTCTGCCATCTGTTTATTTAAAAAGGAACATTTGTTTTATGTCTGGTTGAATTTTTGTTCACTGCTTAGGTTCTAGTTGTTTCAGGAGAGGTTGCTAAATGTTCATGGTGCTTCACCACCAGGAAATTTGTACTCATAATCATATAATGTATTCTCAGACAAACAAGAAAATTAACCTGACATACATACATACATACATACATACATACATACATACATACATACATACGTATTTTATGTAGTGTAACTGTAGTCACATTAAAAAAAAAATTAAAAATACTGCTCTGTCCAGGGGCATCTGTGGGAAGGCATGGTAAAAAAAGTCAAGATGACAGTAGTGATTATCCAGCTGAAGCTATGTCTTTTTTTTTTTTAAGTCCTGGACACCCTCAGCTCTGTTTCAGATCTGAATGTTTTTATTTGTTTTTCTGATGTGTTTGTGCTTTGCCCCTACAATTTTCTGCAAAAGTGTTACCTTTGCTGCACTGGGGATGATAAGCATAGTTTTTTAACAAAAAAAATATTGTACCATGGAGTCCCCAGCATAAGTATATGGAAACAATAGCAGTGGGACTTGGAAAGCTGGTCTTCTTTCCAGGGTATGCCCCATTCCTGAAACAGGCTGATCCAGCTACTTCTATAGGTGCAGGCTGGAGGTGTCCACAGGGTGTGGTAAGTCAAGGTGGGTGCTGCAACAGCACGGTTGAAGCTCCAGCTGCTTTTTATGTCCATGATGTGCCATCTTGACTTTTTTAACCCCATCCTGTAGACACCCCTGGTGCTGGCTTTGTTGTGGCACTGCCATTGGAGCAGCTTGGAGCTACAATAGTTGCTATTTATTTTAGTACATAAAATGAAGCAAGCCTAATTCTCTGTCCAGCAGAGATTTCAGAGGAGGACTGCAATGAACCAAACAATTCTGGAACACCAAATGAACAAGCTGAAACACACTGCACTGCACTTGCCAGGCCCTAACGGTTGACTTGATTTCCACCTGGTTCCTTAGCCAAGGTGAGGTCCTCTGGAAGAAGGTCATGCCATTGGGAGGCCATAGCTGTCCCAGATCAGGAAAGTCCCCTCTATCAAGCAAGATAAGACCACCTCCAGTGAGGAGATGGAGAAGGGAATCCTCTCAGCAGACCTTCTTATGACACTATGACAGGTATGCATATATTTACTTGTGCCAAGAATCAGCCCTGCGCCATAATCTTGACTCTGAAGATAGGGACAAGACCTTCTGCTTGCATTCTGTTCAACGTTTGCAAACGTTTAGGCAGATAAATCTGGTACGAACCAGATATTCACTTTTATTATCAAGGAGCACATCAGAACCAAGAATAATCCTGGGTTTAGTTTTAGTCATTAAGAACAGTTACAGTACAAAACAACTCACAAAGATACAATTATATCATTCTAATCCCTACTTTCTCCTCAGCAAATCCCTTTTCAGGGTATGACAAGTGAACCCTGCCTTGTGTGTTCTACAAAGCATGCTTAGAAAAATTAAAGCATATTTTTTGTTGCAAAAATTATCTTTTTCACATATATATTCATTTGGAACTCAAGGTAATCCAGAGCAACAAAGCATCCTTTGTAATCTTTGCCTTCATGGAAGATATGGACAATTTTTGCCTATTATTAATTAATTTATTTTACTTAAAATGATTCTATCAAGACCGTTACTGGGTTACGAAAGAGTTATATTGTTGGTTTAGCAGTGTTTGCATTTGTAATAAACAATTATTAGATTTCATTTTTTAATACTTATTACCTTTGTAAATAGTTTTCCTTGTCAGCCGACCCCCTAACGAATTAAAATAAAAGTTCCCATCATTTGTTCCAGCATAGTCTCCCAGAATACTTGTGGGTGTAATCTTTTTGACTTCCTTTGCAAATCCTTCTTGATGATAGATTTCACACTTTCAAACTGCTTTTCTACTATGTGTATGGTGACCTAGTGAGTCACCTGTTAATAAATACGTTGAGTAAATGCAACTCATAAAATATGATCATAAATATGATAGATGAATCCTCATTTTTTTCTGCCAATCAGCATTAGAAACATATTAGACCACACATTTTTAAAGTAGCAGCTAATAAAAGAGTT